TGAACATTCTTATTTTCCATTTTATTGGCCCCTGGTCTACTTTCCCCACATCTTCATTTTCAAAGTGTTAGACTAGAAGCAGAGTATAGAGCTCTGTGGGAAACTAGCTCTGGAATGATATTTGAATCTAGATAGAAACCACTCCCCTATCTTGGGTTGTATTTTCTTCTTTTGATTCTTTGAGATTAATAGCTATGAGAATTTTGTGCTTCGCCATTCCATAGTCACCATTTAATGTCTGTACAAAGTTCAAACCATTTCTTTTATAGTTATCTTTCCAGAGAGAGTGTGTTGGCGGAGAGGGGCAATGGCAGCAAAGGCTGGAAACCAAGAGACCAGCTCTGCCAAGAGCAGCTTCCCATCTGTGGTCTGGAAAAGGCAGAGTTTGGACTATATGATATTTAATGAGGACTCTCCCTGTTTGAGTTTGAATTTGTCATTTAAAAATTTTTATTTTTATTTTTTGTGTATGAGTGCATTGCGTACATGTATGTAAGTGCACCTATGCCATGCAATCCCTGCAGAGGTCAGAAGACGGCAACGGATCCCCTGGAACTGAAGTTGTGGACAGCTGCCATGTGAGTGCTGGGAGCTGAACTCAGGTCCTCTGCAAAGGCAGCCAGTGCTCTTATCCACTGAATCATCTCTCCAGCCCCTTGAGTTTGAATTTATAACATACAGTTTATTGTGTGTTTACGATCAAGTTGCCAACTATCTAAAATTCTTCAATTCTCTTTTCATATAAGAGTATTTATAGGTTAATTATTCATTACCACATTTCAAACTGGACATGAGGTTATCAGTAAAAATGGTATGAGATACTTTTTTTTTTAACCAGGCAGAGAAACACATGATATAGCGCAGATATTAGTTGCAAATGAATTCATTCCACTGTTCGAAATGTTTATGTTTCACAGAAAAAGATTTATGTATGTGTTGTGGGGCACTTAAAAAAACCTCTGCGGAGCACTGGTATACAGCTGGGCACAATCTAGAGAGCAGTGCTACACTGTGGACATTTCTGGAGAACAGTGTAGAGATGCAATTACATTTATGGCTTCAAATACAGAAGCAGATTCTACTTGTATTGATGAAGAATAACTTAGGTGTCACATAAACAGAAGAGAAATGGCAAGACCTGAAGATTCACAAGGAGGCAGGCTTTAAGTGGGCAGTGAGGACTGTTCTGGATTCATAAGGAGGCAGCCTTTAACTGGGCAGTGGGGACTGCGGATTCATAAGGAGGTAGGCTTTAAGTGGGCAGTGAGGACTGTTCTGGATTCATAAGAAGGCAGCCTTTAAGTGGGCAGTGAGGACTGTTCTGGATTCATAAGGAGGCAGCCTTTAACTGGGCAGTGGGGACTGCGGATTCATAAGGAGGTAGGCTTTAAGTGGGCAGTGGGGACTGTTCTGGATTCATAAGGAGGTAGGCTTTAAGTGGGCAGTGGGGACTGTTCTGGATTTACAAGGAAGCAGGCTTTAACTGGGTAGTTGGGGCTGTTCTAGATTAGGTACCTGGTTTAAGAAAAATTATAACTGAGCTCATTACCCATCCCTGTTCTCACTTCAGGACTTGAATAATCTTTCTAAAAGGTAAATCCGACTTATCACTTGTTGCTCAAAGTCTCCAATGACTGCCCACTGACTCAGGGCCAACAGCAAAGTCTTACCAGGGCTGCTGCCCATGACTGAGCTCATGTCTGAACTCATCCTGTGACACACCCATCTCCTTCCATCCTGTGCACTGACACACTAATCTCTTTCTTTCCTCTGGGCCTTTACACATGTGGGTCCCTCTGCCAAGAACACTCTATCCTCTTTACTTCTGGTCAATTCCAACTTGTCCTTTAAGGATTCACTAGGGAACTTTCTTGGGGAACCTGCTTCGACCACCTGCCCCCATCTCCACCCCTGTCCCCACTCACCTCTTTTAGGTTTTTATCTTACTCTTGTTCTTGAGACTCTGGTTTATTTTTCTCTATAGAATTTATTATCATTTAATGTATATACTTATGTTTCTATTTATTTATATTAGCATCCTTCCTCACTCCCAGTCCAAGTCTATGAAAAAGAAACTTATGAGCTGGGCATGGATTCTCATACCTATAATCACAGTGCTCAGAAGGTTGAGGCAGGAGGATTGTCACAAGTTTGAGGCTAGCCTGGGATATACAGTGAGTTTCAGACCAGCTTAGGCTACAGAGCAGAATCCCATCTCAGGATAATAATAATAACAATAACAATAATAAAAATTTAAAACAATGTATAAAATATCACACAGCTCTAATTATTATAAGATTTTAGTACTCAAGGAGGCCAGGAGCAAGTGTTGGATTCCCTGAGTTAAAGTTATAGGCATCTTTGAGCTGCCCAGCTTGGATGCTGGGAACTAAACTTGGGTCCACTGCAAGAGCAGTATGTACTCTTAACTGATGAGCCATCTCTTCAGTCCCACATAATTCTAATAAAATGGAAATAAATGTTAAGAAACAAAATTGTCTGCCCCTTTCCTGACATGTCCCCTTGTTCCTTACCCATGTTTAGACAATGCATTTACCACTTACTTTGTTACCATAAAGAATATCCAAGGCATGTTGACTTTATAAAGTTCACAGCTTTTCAGGTCAAGAGTATGGTGCCTGCTCTGATAAAGGCCCTTTCAGAGTCATCTTGTCATGACTGACAGCAACGGTAAGAACTTATACAGGAGAAAATCACATGGTGAGAAGTCAGAGGGTTGGTGGGGTCTAGCAACCCCTTTTCAAGTGGTCACCAGAAAAATCCATTAATCCTCTCCCAAGAAGTTCATCCAGTAACCCAAGGCTCCCTCTCTTAAAGGTTCCACCCAATTCCCACAGCCACACTGCACTGCTATCAAGCCTCCAACACAAGCTCCATCCACACAGGTGGTTGCCACTTCCAGCCCCATTGTTTCAATGGAGGACACGGAAGGGGAGGAAACAGAAATTCCTCCTTTTCCAAAAATATCTGAATCAGATTTCAATAGTAGAATAAGAAAAAAACCAAGAAGCATGGGTAAGTAACCGGCTCACTATGCTTTATCCACTTATTCCGATGAACGGGCTCTTCCAGTCAGATACACATTCCACACTACTCATACTAGGGTCACCCTTCCATATCTGCAGGGAAGAATTCCAACGTGAATTCCTTCTCCAGAAGGATTTAATCCACGAGTGCTGCAGTTGTGGGTATTACCTTTATCCTTAACCTACCTATTCTCCCATGTACTTAAAATCACCTCTAGGTTACCCATAATACCTGGTATAATACCTGGTATTATGCAAATAGCTGCTAAATTATACAATTTAGGGAACAGTGGCAAGAAATAAAGAGCCTAGTTATGTTTGGGACACATGAAAATATTTTTTATAATGTTAGGGATCAAACACAGGGCATTGCATATATTAAGCAAGTACTCTACACTGAGCTACATTCCTAGATCACTTAAAAACACTTCTGTTGACGGTTGGTTTGAACCTGCAGATGCTGAACCAGTGGATACAAAGAGCTGACTGCACTTGATGCTCTTGTTAGACTCTGGATGCAGTTCACGAAGTGGCTGTCCTGCTTGGCAGGGAGATCATACCTTCCTTTCATGTTCCCTATTCTGCAAGCAGTATTCTATTGTGGGTTACCCTGGGGTGCAATAAACTCTGGTGAGAGTGTGAGGTAATTGGAAGAGATTTCCCCATGCTGTTTCTGGGCCTCATCCTGCCTAGCAGCATGAGGCCACAGGCTCGACTGCATTATCCCCTCTGAGGCTCTAAGAGAAGCTGAGGAGTACCCAGTATTTCTGTAAGCCACCAACAAAGTCAGAAGAACAGGGGTGGACACAAACCACTGTGCCATCTCATTGCAGGTGTGGTTTCAAGCATGAGGTGTATTTGAGACTGTGCAGGTTAGAGGACAAGACTCATGAGGAAAGGGTGCCCATATCCAGGGTGCCAGACCCTCAGAGGGTCTGACATCCAGAGTAGCCTAACCTTCTTGCTCCCCTCCCTTCTGCTATGAAGGCAGGAGAGTCCACATCACAGCCAACAGATTTGACAGATTCAAAATTAGAAGCATCAAGAGAATTCCAGAAGCACAACTTATTTCCTAAATAAGTCTAAAATACACTTATGCCTTTTCAGTACGGGAGAGGACACAATAACCTTTCTCCATCACTTAAAGTCCTAGACAGAGTAAACTCTGCCTTTAGCAAGTGAAGGCAGCTACGAGATAGATTGTGTAATTACTATGAGGCTGGGGAAGAGTCAAGCAAAGATAGAGGGAGGTGATGGAATGGGCTCTAAATTTTTCGGCAACTAATTTTTATTGCAGAACAGTGGCCAACACAATAAAGTTAAAGGATAAAAATGACTGGGCACTAGACTAGGAAAGGCCTTATGTGACAAACCAATGATGGTGAGTTATAATCATCTGTAGGCCATGCAACAACAGCCAGGGACAGACGGCTACAGGGAAAACTACCCCTCTCATGCAAATTCCCCTAGAATCTTACATGGACCTGGTCAAGAGAGCAGATTAACAAGGTCAACCTTTCAAACCAAGGAGACCAAAAAGAATTCACCCTCACCTGTTATAAAGGATTATGACATTTCAAACTCTACGATCTAAGACTCAAGGCAAATTCAAGGGAAAGGTAATTGCTTATCTGTGTAAGTTGATCACTTAATCATCAACAAATATCGATGAGGCACTTACTATAGGTTAGTGCTAACTCTACCTCAGACCCTGTGCTTTCAGCTGGAGTATGAGAGACAGAAGTGCCCTTGAAGGAACTGGGAGGAGGAAGACCACATACCTATTGGTCATTTATAACAGCAGGCCTCCTTATATCCACTGATACTTGATGGAAACAAATGTCAGGCTTAAGACACACACACACACACACACACACACACACACACCTCTGTGTGGGATGGTGCTACTCTCCAGATAGTATATCTATCCCAAGAACAGAAGACAGCACATACCTGGGTGGGCAGGGCTCAGTGTTACAGGCCTGGCTCATTGCTGGAGGACGGTGAGTCATGTCACACAGGCTATCATTGACTGTCTGCTGGGTGTCTATGTGTATGCACACTGCTATGGCTTCTCGATGGCCTGGAGGGTAGAAAGGGAGAAATGGTATATACACAGATCAACTTACTATTTGAAGGAAGAAAACAGGATCTTGGGTCTTTGCATCATTAGCTCACTGTTCTTTTGTCTGTATTATCAGCCTGTGGGGCTCTAATTCAAGGGACATCAATGAAAAAACCCCAAGTTTCCCAGCTCTTAATATTCCTTCATTCACCTCTAAACTCAGTCCCTCTGCTCCGTCTTCCCCAAACCTACTTATCTTGGCACATTTAAGAGAAGCCCAACTCCTGGTCCACTCTCAAACTTTGCCATCTCCTAAAGTATTCAGTTAGGTGTGCCCCTGCAATGAATCACTAAGGTATTCCTTATCACAATATGCAACAGTTTTCCTAAGAGGAAACTTTATATCCTCTGCTAAAGAACAGCATTTTCTCTAGATCACAGTGGATGTGCTACATCTAATTGTACCTTTAAAATTTTCCAATTATACTTCGAGTTCCTCTGCACTGTTCCTACTTTGGCAATGCCTGTTATTAGTGAAAATCAAAGCAGTGCCTCCTGTTGTACAAATGTGTGAAGGGCCTCCAACGGTATCATTTGAGTCTACAGCAACTTGTGAGATCAAACAAATGGTATCCTTATCTACAAATTATGAGTTTAATTATTAGGAAATTGAAACTTAGAAATTAAGACTGAAAAAGTGGAGATTAAAAACTGAAGATTAGGACTGGGGGGTGCTCAGTGGTTTAAAAGCTTGCTGCACAAGTGTGAGAACCAGAGTTCAGGTATCCTGAACCTCTGTAATGCCAGGTGGGCATGGGGGTCAGCTTGTAATGCCAGCCCCAGAAGGCAAATACAAAGGAATCTCAGAGCAAGCTGGCTAGCAAGATCATATCGACAAGCTCAGTATTTGATTAAGAGACCCTACCTCAGTGGCTAAGGTGGAAAAGCAAGCGAGGATGATTCCTAACAGCAGCCTAGAGCCTCCTCATGTACTTGCACCCATGCACTCACACTTAAACACAAGTGAGTAGAGACACTGGCAAACATGCACACACATGCACACATGAAAATGGAAAAATAGGGGCTGGAGAGATGGCTCAGCCGTTAAGAACACTGGCTGTTCTTGCAGAAGACCCGGGTAAAATCCCAGCACCCACATGGCAGCTAACAACTCTCTGTAACTCCAGTTCCAGGGGATCTGACAGTCTCTTCTGTCCTCCTCGAGCACTGCAGGACACAGGTGCACTTACCTACATGCAGGCAATACACGCATACACATAAAATAAAAATAATAAATAAAATATAAAAAGAAAGGAAAGAAAATGGAAAAATAAAAGTGGAAACATAAGTTAAAAGCCCTTGAAGATTAACTTCCCTGCCTCCTGAGTCCATGGTCTCTCTCTTGCACTCTGGGGATTCTAGAATTAAATGTGGCCTCCAAAAGCAGCAGTAGCCCCTTTTTGCAATGTGAGGGTTCAGGGGCATGCTGTTCCTTAGAGGCAGACAGACAAGCCTGTGTGACCCACGCCCGTGCCCTCAAACAGCATTCTTTGTCTGTTGAGACAGAAAAGAATGATTGAGAGTTTGGAATTGAATGAACCATAACTCAAACTTTTGCTGAAAAATAGCAAATGAAAACAGTAACAGTGACCAACTGCTATTTGAAATAGTCAAATGCATTCAGTTTCATGTCAAATGCACATTCCGTTATGTTACAAGTTTGTGGCCCTTTTTCCAAATGCCGTGTTTCAATTCAACCATTTTACAGCATTTCACAGGATGCAGCATAGGCCAAGATTCTTATAGACAGACATTTTTTCATGCTCAATTCTTCCTAATAAATGTTCTCCTGCTGTCTTTGTTTGTAATGATATGCTCACCACCATGGCAGGATGCGGGCTTAGTCTACATGCATCTTTCTTGAATGTTTTAAACAAACACTGGGTAACCCCAGTCAGTACAAGAAGACATGGATAGAGCCTGATAATTCTGACTTTTATCTCAAAATATCAAAACCTCTTTTGTGATCTCCTAGGAGAATGGATGCCACTTCCTAATAAGTTTAATTCTTTTTTTAAAAAAATTCTAAGAGAACTGCAGTCATATTTCAAGTATAATTCAATTTGAAACAAAAATTCTTTAGAGAGTATATTCAGGCTATTTTGGAATGTTTTATGGAGATTGAATGGGAGGTCTCAGAGCACCACTTCAAATCATTTGGATGAAATCTTACAACATGCAGGACATAATTTTTGTCTGTAGCAAAAACTTAAAATTTACGAGATGATTTGGAAGATTTATTAGCATAGAATGTGTTTTCCAAAGATGACCATGAAATATCTCCTAGTCCACATGCTAGCCCAGCAATGCAACTTCTGTCACTTCTCTCTTCAGGTTTGATCAAATAATTATCTTAGAAAGGTCAAATTCATAAAATAAGTTAATCTTATTCATAACAAAATTTCTACCATTAGATTTATGTACTTAGAACACAAATGAACTGTTAAAATTCCAGTGTAATTTTTCTAATGCATTCCTCTTGTTCCATGAAACTACATCCTCCACATTTGACTTTGTAGTGTCATCTCTGAGACACACACACACACACACACACACACACACACACACACACGGGGGGGGCAGAGAAAGAAAGAGAGGTCAACAGCAAAGAAACCCCCAGAGAAATGTATTAGGCAACATGTCACTGTGCAAACATACAATGAATTCACAGAAACAAGACAGGAGCAACATCTCTATGTGACATCATGTTATAGGACCACCATCATACATGTGGTGGTACATGGCTGACATCTGTATTGACTCAGCATTTAAGAACACTGATTGCTCTTGCAGAGGACCTGGGTTTGATTCCCAGTACCCATATATATGGTGGCTAACAACTGTCTGAAACTCCAGTTCCAGGTGAATCCGATGACCTCTTCTGATATACACAGGCACTGCATGATACAGGTGCATTTACATACATGCAGTCAATACACTCATATGGATAAAATAAAAAATAATAATAAATAAAATAGTGTGTGTGTGTGTGTGTGTGTGTGTGTGTGCGCGCGCACACACACACATGCGCGCACGCGCCTGGGATAAGACTGAAAAGATTAGCTGGCATAATAGAGTACAGACTACTATAATCTTTCAGGTAATGGAAAGACAAAAAGCATAATGTGTTACAAACCCAGAGAAGTCCAAAGAACAGTGTCACACTTAAACAAACATGCAAAGTTTTTGTCCACAGGTGAGCTCTTTTCAGGAACCAATGGACAAGACAGCTGGTGAAGATTAAGGGTTGTTGAAAGCCATTTGGAATTATGAAGGGCATCATAAACATCACTGGAGCTTGATAGGAAGTGACCAGTTATTTCCAGAATAACTGGAAAAAAGCTATAGCCCCAGGCCTGTCATGATTTGAAGAAAACAAAACAGTGATGGGTAATGTACCATGCCTGGAACACATCTCCACAGGGAGGGTGTTAAAATGAGTCCAGAGTGAGCCAATTCAATTTTTATTCTCTTCCACAGCTTGTAGGACTCATCAAGAGAAAGAGCCACTTTCTATATTGTCAAAGGCATGCCACTGTTAACATTTCTGAGACATGAAGAAAGTGGTACCCAGGGTCCTGAACTTGGAGAGGAGTTAAGTTTGGGGCAGATGCAGGGCAGCTTTGGGTGCTACCAAGACCATGTGCTTTGGAGGGAACAGACATGGCACATGTTTCAGGTTCAAGTCAACTAAAAAGGCTAAATTCCCAAGCAGATGGGATGGACTTCGAGGAACTAGGAAGCAGCAAGGATGAGAGGGAGAGAGACCTGGAGGCAGGAAAGTAGGAGTCTCAGGCTGGGCTCAAACTCACAATGTAACCAAGGATGATCTTGAATTCCTGATTCTCCTGCCCCTACCTCCTGACTTCAGGGTTTATAGGCATGCCCTGCTGCTCCTGGATCACCTAGGGTTTTTTTTTCCTAAATTCCACAAGGGAAATTCCACATGCAAGGTGGTAGATTTGCTGCATCCTGGTGTAAAGCCCCTGCCACTTTAGTTGGGGCCAGGGCTAACATGGCAGTGTTAGACAACAGGGGTCAAGGATAGGTGGGTTTAGAGGTCATATCAGACAGAAACAGAAAAACAGTCAGGACCACTGATGGCAAGGATTATGAATTCAGTCCCTAAAGTGAGGTTAGGCACAATGGTTGGCCTTGAGTTCCATGACTCGTTCACACATTCTGGGTCACCAGCTCAAGACCCCTATGAGGAGGGGAGCATGTCCATGAGCCAACAGCTCAGAGAAAGTAGCTCCTTCTATTTTCCCACTTTCCACTGGGACTGACACCAGAAAGTTCTGACAATGAGTTCCCTGAACAGCAACTGGTTGGATGGCAGTCAAGTGTCATAGGACAGCGGAGTCCTGGTTCAGTTGGGGGCACAAGGGCTCTTTCATTGTTAGTAAAATTTACAGAGATTTAACTTTCCTGCTGGTTATTTATTTTAATTAGTGGGATTTTTGTTGTTGTTCTGGGTTGTGGTGGTATTGGGATGTGTGTGTGTGTGTCTGTGTGTGTGTGTGTCTGTGTGTGTGCGTGTGTGTGTGTGTGTGTGCACTCGCGCGCGCATGCATGGGTGTGAATGCTTGTGGAGCCAGGGCTCAGCCTTGGATGTTGTTCCTCAGGAGCTGTCCACCTTGTTTTCTGAGGCAGAGCCTCTCATTGGCCTACAGCTCACTGGCTAGGCTAGACCTGTTGGCCCATGAGCCTTGGTCCATTTGTCTCCACTACCCACATACCATGTCTGGTTTTCTACCTGGTGCTGGGGATTGAACTCAGGTCCTCATGCTTGTGTAGCCAGCTCTTTCCTGGCTGAGTTATGTCCCCAGCACCCCTTGCTTGTTGTTTCTATCTTTCTACTTTAAGCAGTGGGCTAGAAAGTGGCTCTTTGGACTTCTGCTCCTTTCCCTTCTCCTCCTTTTTATCCTACAATGCTGAAATAATTCCAAGGCCCACTCTTCCCCTTAAGGAAGTCACATGGTTATATACAATATATACCTCTCAAGCCTAGCCTGGCTCTGCACGTCACCTATCCACACACGGACCAATCATGGGGATGGGTATGCTCTGCACTGGTTGCTGGCTCAGTGTACAGGAATGAACAGAAACATGTTCTAAGGACTTCATGCCAACAGCTGCACCAGTCATGGCAATCCCAGGCTGTCTCATTCTGTAACACTGATTTCTACACAACATACCTATTCTGCATTTTCCAACTTATTCGGTGGTAACCAGTGAGCCCCTTCCCTGCTCAGTGAAGCAGACTCTTGGGCCAAAGACACTTAAGTCACTCTATAACTCCCAAACATAAAAGAAATAAAAAGCATTGTTTTGTAATTGAATGAATTCACCTGTTTTAGACTTTTGATAATTTGCATATTTGGCTCATGTAATGTGGTCATTTCTCAAACCATTAGCAATAGACCACATACTCTAACCCTTAGCGGGGTTCAAATACCTCCCAAACATGTTGCTGTGCAGGGAGTAAAGCCAGCGTACTCCCAGTCGTAAGTCATCTTGCTGTCCTCATGGAGAGGGACACCCAGCTCTCGGGACGCAGAGGTCTGGTCACAGGCTTCAAGGAGGCATGGTTGCTCAGTGGGTAGCTTGGGGCCTTCACATTCCTCCTCAGGGAGCTCAGTTTCCGTCTGTGTGAAGGTGAGGAGCACCCGGCACTTCACCTCACGCACCTGAACGCCAGGCCCACACGTGGTGCTGCAGGCTGACCAGGGTTCCGGAACGAACCTGAGGAACACCAGGGCACCGGGAGAGGAGGTCACAGGGGTCCTTGTGTACGGGCCATGAGAAGAACTCTGTGGTTTTGATGACTGCCCAGAGTTAGCGTATTTTGACATCTTATAAACAACAGAAAGAATTATTTATTCAAGACATACTACTTTCACATCCATATAAAAATTTTAAGTTCTGTGCTAAAACCAGGGTAAATATTTTTAAGAAATAGTCATAAGTAAACCATCATTTAGGAATAATTACATCATTTCATTTATAAGACAGCTATTTTTACCTGTTTTTTCAACCACTTTTTTGTGAGCTTACCCTTTGTAACAGGAGGAATAGTATTTGAACTGTCCTGATATATAAGAGCTAAATTGTAGGATAATGTGAATGCTTTTTGCAAGGAAGATGAAGCTGTGATATTCTTTGAAATTTAGTATTTAAAACCACAACTTTTCAATGTTCTTGAAAACATAAATGTACTGTACAAGCCAGCCTTAGAATGAAACATTCATTCTTTAAGTCAAAAAGATCATAAAATTTTGGCTCTCAAGCCAAAACTAGCCTGCCTGTTCTTGTACATCCCATCAGCTAAGAATGATTTTATATTTTGACACTTTTAGTGAAAAAAGAAGATAAAATTTTGTGGTATATGGAAATCAAATGCAATTACACTTGTAGTGTCTTTATTGGAGACCTTTCCTAGGACATGGGAACACTTGTTTATCCACCTATCATGTATAGCTGTCTTTCTGCTAACTTGACAGATCTGGGTATTTATAGCAAAGACTACTCATCTTGGGAAGTCTAAAATATTTACTTTCTGATCCTCTTCAGAAAATGTTTTTGACCCTTGTATGCACTCATTAAAAATCAAACAGATTCTGTCAGGATACACATGCATCAGATACTCTGAAGCAAGACTTTGTATCACAAGATATTGCTAAATTGGGGCTGGAGAGATGGCTAAGCAGTTAAGAGCAGAGGCTGCTCTTGCAGAGGACCCAGATTCACTTCCTAGCACACACATGGCAGCTAACAACTGTCCATCACCCCTGTTCCAGGGTATCTGACACCCTCTTTTGACCTTCATAGGCACTGCATGACATGAGTGTACTTAGACACATGCATGCATTACACTCATACATGAAAAATAAAAATGATAAATATAATATTTAAAAGATATTAATACATTGATAGACAAGGGTATCCCCAAACCTGTGTAAAAGCTGGATGCATTAGTGGGCATCTGTAATCCCAGTACTCCAATGGCAAGGTGGGAGGAGGAGACAGAAGAATAGTACAGAAGTTCCTGGGCTGGAGTACACAGTGTAGTGGCAGAAACAAAGAGAACATGCCTTAAACAAGGTTGAAAGTGGGAACTGACTCCTGAAAGTTGTCCTCTGCTCCCCACACGTGTTGTGACACACCCCCCACACAAATTAATAAAAAATATAAAAAGGAAAATAAACAGGTGAAAAATAGTTCAGCAACAGAGTAAGTTTGGGAAAGTCTGGATTTCGTAATGGTCAAGAGGTTTATTTACTGCAATACTTCTCTCCAAACCATGATATTTGAGTCCATACTATAATAAGAGAAATATGATGTGCATCATTTTATAAACATGTGAATTCAGTCCAAGTTCATAGAACAATGAACAATTTTCTAGTAGTTTGAGAAGTTGCCTCTGAGATATCCAAGATACATTTCCAAATATTAATATTCTAAAATTAGAAAACCTTTGAGCACTGTCATTCCAAAAGCTTCCAAAATCCTCTGTACAAAGACACTTGGGGATTCTCCTTTGAGAAGCCCACACCCACACTTGGGTGCATTTCACTCTGTCCTTCAGCACCTCTCATTCTGTTAACCCCAGTGCTTAAATCTGAGTCAAAATCTCTTCTCAATAGGCTCCAGCTCTGTTTCATACTCCTTATCCTGAAATTACTTTCTGCCATTGAAGTCAGGAACCTAAGTGTTTCCTGCACAGCTGTCTCTGAAGGCAGCTGCTGTCTCTGCCTCCTGCCTCACTGCCAACATCACCATCTCTGAAAACTCACTGATGGTGCACCTTAAATGGATAAGATTTGTTTCTTATCTATTTATATGCCCCCATAGAATTGATTCTTCAATGCGCTATTTTTAGGGACAAAGTGGTAGGGACCCTAAACAATCCCCTACTGAAGAGAACGAGATAGCAATATGAAACAGAAAAGGTGTTCAGAAATAAAATGAGGAAAGATGCCTCCAACATTCATCTTGGAAAGATGCACCATCTTCCAGGAAAAGGTAATGAAAAAGTCCTAACATGGAAGCCCAGAGCTGTAGACAGAAGAGTGCCTCTCACACATTCCCATGCTGTACTCCCTGGAATATGTGACCAACTGCTACAGTCTGCAGCAAAAGAGACTTAACTAGGGTGAGTAAGGTTATAAACTTGAGATAATCCTGTGTTATCCTAGTGGACCCAGTGTCATTTCTCTGGTTGAAGTCAGAGGTATGGCAGGACAAGAGGCAAGAGAGCTTCTCTTAAAGCCTGAGAATCAGTCAACTCCCGATGCTGGCCCAAAGGTGGAAGAGGTCACATGCCACAGTATGCTGATGCCCTCTAGAAATTAAGGATGATCTCCCAGCCAAAAGCTGATGAGGAAATAGAAATTTAATAATAGAAGAAAACGTTCAGGTACCCAAGAAAGATCTGGATCTATGCTCTAACAGTTCTTATTGGTCCAGCAAGATAGCTTAGTCAGTAAAGCCACCTTCACCAAGACTGATGACCCAAGTTCCATCCCTGGGACTTACATGGCAGAAGGATGTAACAGAATCCTGCAAGTTGTCTTCTGACTTCCATACTCATGCTGTGGCACACGTGTATATGCACATGTACATACACATACACATATATATGTACACACATACACATGCAAACACATAATAAATAAATGGTAAAAATAATTTAAAGCCCAGGTATAGTGGTGCATGCCTTTATTCCCAGCACCTGGGACGCAGAAGCATGCAAATCTCTGTGAGACTGAGGCCAGCCTGGTCTACATAGTGAGTTCCAGGCTTGCTGGTATTACAGGGAGACCCTATCTCAAAAACACTAAAAAATAATATTTCAGAAGTCTTTACTGCTTACCAAAATTACTGAAACAAAGCAATACCTAGATCTATTCTAGAGATGTGCTCTAATTTAACTACATGGGAAAATACCTAATTAAACTATGTGGGAAAACATTTAAATATCCTTTTTAAAGGACAACTGCCAACAAGGAGAGAAGAGGCAAGTGTGGTGGAGTAAAACAGCAGGGCAAAGAGGCAGATGTAAATATCAGGAGAAGAATGAACAGAGGTTGGCCACGGTGGCACACACCTCTAATCCACACATTTGAGAGGCAGGGATAAAAGAATAGTGAGTTTGAGACCAGCCAAGGCCTCAGAGGTTTAGGCTGCCCATTGACACTTTATCTCAAAAAAAGTAGCAAAACAGAACACAGTTCTCCCACAAAGGAACAAAGATAAAGTAAAAAGGCACCATGCTTTGAAGACAATTTGATAGCTATGAAAATAAACTTAATTGGAATTTTTAACCCTTTTTAAAAATTTTATGTGTATGAGTGTATTCTCTGCATGTATGTAAGTGCACCTGTGCCGTGCAATGTCCGTGGAGGTCAGTAGAATGGGTCGAACTCCCTGGAACTGGAGTTATGGGTTGTCAGCCACCATGTGGGTGCTGGGAACTGAACCTGGGTCCTCTGCAAGAGCACTCAGTGTTCTTAAGTGCTGAGCCATCTCTCCAGTCCCCCTTTGGAATTTTTATTAAAGAATTCAATAAAATAATCTACAATTATCGGTGGTTGTAGCTATATAGAAATAGGGAACATAGATATAGATCATAAAATTTCTAGGTTCCCCAGAATTTAGCTAATACAGTGTTAGTTGCCAGCCCCTACAATAGCTACATTGCATATATTATTTAATATAATTGTTATATTATCTCCTTAATTTTATAGATGAGAAAAACAGAGGCTTAGAAAATGTAGGAAAATTTCCTGAGCTCTGTGAGCTTGTAAATGAAAACTTCATGAGAAATACACTGGTCTGATATGATTAAACTATGGATTGCTGGGAAGAGGGCTGCTGAGATGGCTTAGCAGGTAAAGGTGCTTGCTGCAAAGCCTGAGGCCACCCGAGTTCAATCCTCAGGACCCACATGGTGGAAGGAGACAACTGATCTCTGATCACACACGCGCTGTGCCAAATGTACACCTGCCTCCTGCACGCACAAATAAAAGTAAAATGTAATCTTAAAGTTTTTGAAATACTGAGTAGATTCTGATCCCAGAAATCAGAACAAATTGAAAATCCACCCTCTACCCTGAGTTGCAAGACTCAAAAATGACAGAGATGGCCGTTCTCCCTTAGTTAATTCAGAACTGGGTAATTGGGGTTGGAGGACAGAAATATACAATACCACTCTTAAATTTTATGGACAACAGCCAAAAAAATTTTAAAAAGAAAGCAATTACAGAGTAATTGCACAACTTGACAGAAAATAATATTAAAAAGATAAAATAATTCAAGTAATATGGAATTAGCAGTGAAATATTTAGTTTACTCAGTAAACCATTTTAACATCAAAGTGGGCAGTTTGGGTTATTTGACAGTGCACAGGCAATCAGTTAATTCTTTGGAAAGAAATTAAATTAGACTGATTTTTATGTCACGTATCAATATAAATCCCCCCCATGAGCCAAAGTTCAACACAAAAAATGATAAACAGGAAAGAATACTTCTTAAAAAGATAATTTCTCAATGTTAAGGCGTAGAAGAGAAACCAGGCTTCAGAGCTGATGCAGGTGAGGAAAGTTGACACAGATTTTCTCAAACAAATGGGAGAGTGGAAATTAAAGTCCTTTAATGAGTCTATCTTTGGGACCAGAAATTTCACCTCAGCAAGGATATCCTAATGAGATAACCAGAGGCATGTTACTTGAGCTTTGATGTGG